CAAACACACACACAAACACTGAGTAGAAGATAGAGTCATTTGGCACTGCCATTAATGTAGCCGCTAAGTGGCTATGTCATGCTAGGCTGGTCTAACTCCCCCAAATGTATAGATATATATATATATATGTATGTAAAAAAAGTAAAAAAAAGGGAGGAAGGTCTCAAAGATTTCCGGCTGAAAAGGGTGCGTGCCTGCTGCTTGCTAACTGAGGAGAGATGACGACGAAGTAGGCGGTCTATGCATATTTCATAAGCAATTACTAAGCAAGCCCAGCGAAAGCGCGTAGGCGGCTTTTAGTCATTTGTCGTCGTGTTGGCTTACCAACGCAAAAAATAAAAAACAAAAAAAAAAGGAAGCAAAACCATGGCAAATATCAGCCAAAAAAATTAAATCGCCACTCGTCCAACTGAATTGGCGCAGATGACAAGAAGTGCTCAAAAGTGGGCCACATAATTTATGATTTCATTTTATGATGGCACACACGCAACCCTCATCCTCTTCCCATTGTTTTTCATGCTTTTGTTTCAGCCTTTTTAAGTCATTGCTTCCTATTATTTTGTTATTAAATTACATCAAATTGCTTTGACTTCGAGTCGCGTGTGTGTAAGTGTCTGTGTGTGTGTTTGTGTATGACCTTTCAAAGTTCAAAGCGATTGACAGCCTCCTCTTAAATTCCATCCCATTAAAAGCTGATTTTGTCGTATTACGTTTGCCAAGCTCCACGCCTTGTGATGATTTTTTGTTATTTATTTTTTTCGGTTTGCTGCTTCTTCCAAATTGATAATAAATTGTGGTAGCACACCCATTAAAATGAATTATGTGAGAGGCAAGTAAAATTAAACAGAAACCAGAAGAGATTTGAAACTTGAAAACTGCTAAGATCAAATTTTTCTTTTAATTCGTAGAAACTACAATACAAAAGTAAACAAGTTTGTAGTAAAAAAATTTATGCACTGATTTTTCCCATATCTAAATTGATGTTTAATGTTGGTAATCTAAAGTCCCTTTAGCTTTCGTGGCTCCTGATTGATCGCCCACTATTCGTCCTTTTCAACTGTCCACTCTGAAACAACTGGTGCACACATTGTGTGCCATGTTATCAAGAGGCCCAGCAACACATTGCCAAATTACGACTTGATTATCTCGCCTAGCCATCGCTAAACAAAAGGCAACAATTATCTTAATGCCAGGTGCAAGAAATTAATGTCCTGTAAGCACATTTCAACACAATATAACTAACGAAGACTGGGACTATAGTATGACTGCGACTATGAGTATAACGATGTCATCGCACTTAATCTCCGATAAAGGCATGCGTCCTTTGTCCCCCGTTTCATAGGCAGAGCAGAGTTAGCAGCAAGTGAACAACAAAATATAGATTAGAGAAAAGGTACCGACAAATCGCTGTCTGCCTGTGGAACTAGGACATGGCTTCCAAATGCCTCAAACCCATTTAAGAAACTCCTTGTGGTCCCTTCTTCCTTTTTTTTTTGTGCTTTGCCCAGAGCCACCTTTTCTACGCTTCGTCGTTGTCGTTGGGTGTCATCTATTTGTATTTTTATGTGCTTACTGTCAACGAAATAATTGACTAACATTGTGTTCCCGGGCTTAGCTGTGAGTGTTCCCTGTTCCGAGGTGACCAGCCAGGTGGGTAGCTCTTGACATCTTAAGTGAAAGGAAGAGTAAGTGTCAGGAAACCGGAAATGTTTTTCCTTATATTCAGAAAAGAAGATGGTCGCCTAGACGGAGTAAAGCAAGACAAGAGTCCCTTTTAATGGAAACAATGCTGCTTTCTTTATTGAAAACGGGGGTAATTATATTACTTCATTAAAAAAAATCTGTATGCCTTTTAAAGTACAACTTTTAAAAAGAATATTACATACATTTTACAACCTTCTTGCATTTTCCTATAGAACTAGCACTAAATATCTTTAGTTTTTCAAACAAAATATATAAAAGTTTGCAAGTGTAGTTGTAGAAAATGGCTGTTTACAAAAGGTATATGCTCTTTGCTATTGGCTACTTATTTTTATCATAATCCCTGCTACCCAATATTTCTTTCAGTCGTTTTATGGCTCAAACGCGGGCATACTCTTTGGCTTTATGCGTTTCCAATGCATTGAGCCACGGCAATATACAACAGAAATCGGTGAAACTTTTACGAGCTTACCAGTGAAGTCCACCTGTTCAGCATACAAAACTAGCAGCCGTTTTCCCTTTGACTACCCTATCATATACAAATCCCATGTTTCAGCGCCACCAACGATATTTGGTGCGTGGGGAAACCAATTTCCTTGGCGTAGCACTTACTGCTATTTTGGTAATATGACCATTTTATGGCCCACGCATGTGTAGGCATTTTTGGGGCGGCGAGGAGGTGCTAAAGCTAAACACGTACTACGGGATGGGTCGACTTCAGCGATTGAGAGTAGGCAGATGAAATATGTGCACAGCAGCAGCACCTGCTTTTTTTAATGAAACAATCTCTGCAAATATGATATTTTGTATGCAAACATGCAAAATATTGTTGAGGCGCCGTCAAAAAAAGGCAAAGAAAAAGGTGGGAAAAGCGCACTCGTCGTAAAAATAAATAAGCCAGAGCCCATGCTGAGCAACGTTGGAGGTTTTTGGAGAAGGTGGCCTACCAGAGTCTTACGAAAAAAAATAAACAAATATTTGCGTTGACAATAAGCTGAGCAAAGAGTGTAAATGTACAGTACACTCCAAAAATTATATTTAAGAAATATTAAAAAATAAAGAAGCCTTTTAAGAAACGATTTCATCCAAATAGATATTGAAAATGTATTAATACGCAGTTTCAAAATGATGTAGCATATATAAAACAATTTAAAATCCTGTAAAACTTTTCATATTAGGCCAAAATCAACTTGTGTAAGTCTAAAGCCTTTCAAGTCAATCGATAAACATTTTTAATACATCAAAACATGTCAAATGAATTCTAAATAAGAACCCATTTATATATACACGAGTAGGTATACCTTTTTTATCATTTTTATTTACAAGCAACCCCCGAAAAAAGCGTTGTCACTTTGTGTGCTGGCACTCAATACTCGTTTGAGATATTGTATATCAATAATTCAATATTTATTTTCATTTTTGTCGCAATTTTCGGTTTCTTATTTTCAGCTCAGATGAAAGTCGGTAACGAGGAAATTTAATCTTTTTTCCACGTTCCTCTCTTGTATCTTCACCTCCTGGCATTTCACTTCCTTGTGCTCTACTCGCTTTCCCCAAATATACGGCAATATCTTTGTTTTCGTGGAAAGAGCCAAGAACCCAATTAGTTTACGTTGAGGACATTGAAGTTGGTGTTTGACATCGGAGTCAAGGAAGTGTCTTACTAGACCGTCTTGCACCAGACACCACTGGAAAATTGTACACCAAATTGTATTTACGAAAATAAAGTATTTATAAATAAAGGTCATCTATATTTTTGATTTTCTCGGGTTTCCGTTACAGATAATCCAATCACACAATAATGGCGAAGAAAACTTTATTATCTATGGTTTTTGATTGCCAGTCTTGCAGCAAGAGGATTTTATTTGGTTTTATATTTACTGTTTTTCAGTCTTAAACTTTTTATTTCTTGTCGGGTTTATTACTCTGTCCATCCGCCCGCCCACAAATCTATATGGGATGTCGAACATTGACCGTTTGCCCACCCCACTAATTACAATTTTGTGCCCTGATATTTCTCGGGCTTTTCCTTTGGTCATTTGCACACTTTACATGGCCTCCGTTGTCTTGTAGTCCCAGCGGAGAAGGACATTTGTCTGCTTGTCCACCAATGTGTCCTGCAGCCGTATTATACCGCCCAGCGTTTCCGTTTCCTTCTTGGCTCCTAGTCTTTCCTCAACCCTCCCCTCCATTCCTCCCAATCCTCCCCGTTTGCTCCTCCAACAGAGCTGTCAACAAATTAACTGTGACGCTTATGGGGAAGCGGACATATGGATGGGGCTTTTGGGGGGAGGAGGTCACGGTGGCATGGAGGATACTGTTTTCAGGGCGATTGGGCCCGACATGCTTGGCATGTTTTGTTGCCCAGTTTTAGGCGAGAATATGTGTCGTAAATTCACCCCACACATTTCCCAAAGGGCCACACAAAGAGTGCCAGCTGCTTTTTGGCCACAAATATTGAACAATTAGCTCTGCTCTTGGCAAACATTTACTGGTGATTTAAATTTTTCTCCCTCATGCTGCAGTTCACTGGAGAGTTCTTTGAATGCCTTTTAATCTATCGCCTTGGGGGGCCTTTTATTTTAGTTTAAAGGGCATCCGAAATTCGCCTGTTCCCTCCTCTTTTTTTGGGTGTTAACAATTGCTGGGCTTATAAACGGTGTATATATATATACATTTTTTATATAAATAATTCTGGGACGTGTGGTAATGATGCCGACACGTGACAAAGCGACAACAGGGAAGAGCAAAAAGGAGCAAAAGGAGCAAAAGGAGCAGACGGAGCGTAAAGTAGACAAAAGGCGCTGAAACCAGATATATATTTTTGGGAATATTTATTATGGCAGCCTGCAAAGGTGTATAAATTTGCATGAGAAACTGGCTGAAAGAAAGAAACTCTGCTTCGAGTGTGTGTGTGTGTGTGTGTGTGTGTATGTTATGTGTGAGGTTCTTGAGCAGTGCTTTTCTCCACTGCATAAACAAATAAACAAACAATACATAAATTTTTGAGACCAACATGAGATGTAGGTGGGCTCCTTATGCCGAGCACGTTCTCCTCCTTTTTTTTTTTTTTTGCATTCCACTCCTTTCTGGTTGACAATGTTCTCGGCTTTTTGATTTTGTCCTGCTGAGCTCCTTGACTATTGTTCTTGCCTTTTCCTTGCGGTGGCTTGACATTGGCTTTGATAACAATAATAATCATAATAATAAGAGCTTATAATAACAATCATTTTGCGACCCCTCAACGGTGTTCACCTTGGCTGTAGTCCACCCCCTTTTATTATGAAACAGAATTCAGGTTACTTTTTATAGACTGCATATTTTTTATTTTCTTTCTTCTACAAAATTGCTTTATTTACGACAATATTTATATTTATCACAGTATTGATGGCCACATGTCATCGTCGTTTTGGGGAAAGTCTGCAATAAAGAGGAAATAAAAACATTTATAAAATTAGACAAAATGGTTTTTTAACACATACTAAAATATATATTTTGTTTCTTTTTTATAGGCGACGCCCATAAACCAATAATACCTGTAGAAGCGAGAGAGCAAGAAAAAAAATGATTATGGCTATGCGTTTAAACGTGAGTATTTTGAATTACAAATTTTTATTCTGGTACTTATAGTTGAAGAACTCTTAATCATTATCTGAATGTCATTTATAATATAATAATGAGATATGCAGTATTATGACTATGAAAAAAAACAATATAGAAATACAGGTAATAAATAAATAGTTTACATGCTCGAAATAACTAAACAAACAAAAATACGAAACTCAAAACATTTGCCTTTTCGTTAAAATAGGAATTTTATTCCTTACATAAATAAATAAAAATATTTCGATCCTTACTTTACTAAATTCTATACAATAAAATGGAGTGGTTTTTATGTAGGTGCTTTAAAAAGGACCCAAAAAATACAAAATTGATGAGTGCTGTAAATTAAGTTTAATTTATTCATTTTTTCAAATGAAGCTCCTTATAATTGTTCGATTATGTCGATTCATTCAACAAATATAATATACCAGTCGAATAACTACTTAAGAAAAACTACAATTTTCTATTTTGGGGCATGGTGAAGTTGTCCGGCGGCTATCACAATTTTATCTCTTGCTCATTTGTCAGGGCTTGTCAAATCCAGTCAACAACTTAGCAGCACAAGCGGTTTTTTTTGTGCAATCCCTCCTTTTTTCCGATTATCAATTCGCATGCATACGTGCCAAGGCAAGCTGGAGAAAGCTTTTCAAGTGTCTAGACTTCTGACAACTATGGAATGAATGCGGCAAACAGTTGCCCAAGAATATTTGCCTTTCACTCAAAAGGATTCCGGAGTTGTGGTGGGAGTGATTTAGATCTGTGCAGAAAAGGACGATGTATCCTGGGCTTAATTACTGCGCTTGGCCAAAAAAGGGGATGCACGAGGAGGAAAATGTGGGGAAAACTACCAATCGAACTGATTTGATTGTGGGCCGGCTCGTTTAATGCAATATTCCCATAAAGAAGGCTTTGTGTGCGAGTGTCTGCACAGAATGCGGGTCCTTTCACAAACTTTGTAAACCGGTCAGGGATATCCTTGTCATATGGCACACACAGCCACACACACCCACACACTGGCACACACAAAAGCAACAAATTAAACTGTTCCTATTTGCAAATGAATTGTGCGTGGCGTAATTTCGCAGAAAAGTTTCTAAGGGATAAGGCTGAGGATAGATAGATGGAATGGTTTGCACAAGGCGCACACGTTCCTTCCGCTTGAAATAAAATAAGTAGTATAATACAGAAGGCAACTCTCCTCCGGCATCGAAATTGAAATGAAAGAAAAGGATTCTTGAGCAAGACAAAAAAAAGCTTTGTATCTCTGCTGATATCTCTTTGTGCGTGTCCTTTCGGTGTGGGTTTTCTCAATGCCTGTGTGTGTGTCCGTTTGTATTGGTGTGTGTGTGTGTGTGTGTGTGTCTGGTGTCCTGGGCCGTAGAAACTTTTTGTGAGGGCCCAGGTCCTTTCTGGCGTTTCATACGCTCAATTGCTGGTGGTTAGCCGAGCCCGGCTGCGTGTTCTGGTCGACAGTCAATTGAAAATGAAATTGGTAAAAGTTAGCAGAAACAGAGCCAAAAACTCTTCCACCGCCTCGATGTGTGCGGTGGCATCTGTTCTTTTGAGATGTTCTTCGAGGAGGCAAGAGGTCAGAGAGGGGAGTAGAAAAGACGGGTTTACGTGCGGACAAGCATGCATAATGAGACCCACGATCCTTTTTACCTGGATGCGGGTTACCTTTGCAAATTAATACTAAAGAGACGCGTAAAAGTATGCAACGCCAAGTAGCAAGCAACTACGTGCCTGCTGCAGGGTGTCCTTTCTCCACTCCGAACCGAACCGAACTCTTGTTTTATGAATACTTTTCGCTACTTTACTCTTTGATCATAAACAAAAAAACAAAGAACAAGAATGTAGCAAGCAGAAAAATGTACGAAAAGTTGCTTTGTTTGGCGCATATTTCATCAATGGACACGTCCTGTTGTTCGGAATTTTTATAGATTCCAGTTTTGAGTGCATTTGCTTGTTGCGTTGTCTACTCCACATTCCCCTCAATTTTGTTTGCCTTGTCATTTTTTACGATTTATCGGTGAAGCATTTCGCTCTCATACACTTTGTGACAGATTGTTGAAGATTAAGTTTGACGGAGTTGAAACTTCGAGGATTTTGGTTGACAGAAGGGATTAGCACGAAACCGTTTTGTAGTAAAAAAAATGTGTTTAGCTCGCACTATGCAAAAGATTATTTAATAATACTCTAAATGGACTTAACGTGTCTGTCGTGTATTAAATTCAAGGTAGAAATGCTATACAAATTTGTTAAAGAAATGCTTGGTAAAAATGTTTTCAATTAAGGAAGTTAAATGGATACAAATATTTGTCGATTTATTTTAAATACCATACTAATGTTTTTAAACAATTCGACACTTTTTAAAATTATTTCGCTTATTTATGCTTCGCATAAAAGTTAGAAAAATTCACATTTTTTAAAGGTCTGTTAAAACTGCTTTATTGTCATATAAAAAAAAAGATTTTGAAAGGCGCACCACTTGACTATTTTTTTCATGTTTTGTAAATGTATAAATAATTTTTTGATTTATAATATACTTACTCTTTGTAAAAGCTTATGTATTCATTAATAAGAATTATCAGTCCAGTTCAGTCACCATTATTCAAGTCAACTTCATCACGAGTTTTTAGCCTAATCACATCTGAAAAAAAAGAAAAATACTTAAACTAGAAATTTGGTATTAATTGCAAAATAGCAAAAATTTTCATTTTGAAATTTTCCTCGTTTCTTCCTTGATTCCTGTGGTGAATTTATGTCAAAGCTAATGCTGTTTGCTTATCCATTTGCCTAATTTTGTTTGCAATTGATAACGTAGACATTTTTTCCATTTGCAATTCAAACTTTTTGTGTCTGAAATTCGATCCAAATGCAATTGAAATTTTTTTTGTGTTTTAGCTTTTTGTGAACTTTTATGCAAATGAATTCGGTATCGAACATTTTCATCTGGAATTTGATTTTGGTTTTTGCTGAATATTTCCCAAGCGAATATGCATGAATATGCCTATTCGAGTGGATAGTTGTTAATCCTAATAAATGGTGACATGGTAATTGTTTGTCAATAGTGGAAACAAACAATGGGTGGCCACACGACAATTAAAATCATTCATTTTTGTTTACAATACTTGTAATGCTTCAAATGTATTTTTAATACAAAATTGTGTTGGTTTTTCTTTATTTATAATGAAAACTACAAAATTTTGCGCGTTGTTATTTACGTTTTAAATACATACACCTTTTGATTAAACTTTTTGTTTTGTGCCAAAATTGTTGTTTTGTTTTCTGCACTTCACAAATTAATCAGTTTGATTTTTATGTTTATCGTCCTCTAATTGCATTTATTGTGTTGAGGAAATTTTATGGACTGTCCCGCGGCCCCTTTATTTTTGTAGCATTATTAGCAAACGCACTCTCACACACAAAAGGAATCTCGCATAAAAATTTATTACGCCACGCCCACCACTCCAACACCTCCCCAATTTTTTCCCGTTAAAGCGGCATAAAAATAAATATAAATAAAGGAGCTCGAAAGTAACAGCGAAAAAAAAAAAAAAAACAAAATAATGTGTTTGTGGTGGTGGGATACTTACAGGAGCAACAAATGCAGTTCATCGGCAGATCCTCCATTTCCTTGGCCCCTTTTTTTTTTGCGTATTTTCGGAGTTTTTCCCACGGCGACTGTGTCGTTTACATATCGCTTTTGGCCCTCATCTCCTTTTTCTGGGCCACGTTGCGCTGTCTAAACGATTTACGACACTTTTGCCAACTGCCTGGCGCCCACATTTGCAATATTGTTTGTTTGTACGTTGCGCTGTGTGCGAGTGTGAGTGTGCGGGGGCGAGTGTTTGTGATATTAGCATTAAATAAACCCACACACACACATGACACACTGTTAGGAGTTAACTTGGCCAAGAGGCAAGACACAAAAATGCCGCACACGTTCGTTTTTATTATGTTAAATGTCTCCTGGGGCCTCGAACATCACAGCATCTGCAAGTTGTTTCCATCTGTTTGGCCGCTTTCCACTTTCTTCTTTCTCATTTCTCCTTTTTTGTTGTGTTGTCGTTGTGTTTGCCTTTTGCTAACTGTCACTTGGCTTGTCACATTTCACATTCACTTAGACGGCAGGATTAAAGGAGGAGCGCGCCAAAAAGTATGCTATCGCACAAAAATTAGCACAGGCTATTTGGCCAATTCGTACTTGGTTCTTGGCTTTCGCTTTTTTTGCTTTTGCTGGCTGCTCTGGTTCGGTTTCCTGCGAAATGTTCTGCCGATGCGTCGTTTTAGCCGAATTCAGCTCACTGCCCGCCGCTCCAGTTGAAACTGACGACTGGCGAACGACGGTCAAAGTCAATGGCGGGTTTTTCGTGGCTGCGATTCGTTTTTCACCTTCGTCGGTGTGCTCGGATCTCCAAAAAACGAACCTGTCCGATTACCCAGAGTTGAAAGCTCATTCTCAAACTCATCCTGTTCTCTGTGAGTGAGTCCTTGCTGAAAGGGACTGAGCTGGTTAAGTCGCATCCTGGTCAGTTCTCTTGGGTTTCATATAACTGCTGGGATGACTCGAAATTAGGATTTGAGTTGAGTTTAAAAGAGAAGGAACGAGTCAAAAGGTTCTGTTAAAACCTCTTACAGGACTCCATTTATAAAGTTCTCTTAGTGTAGCTGCCTTGGCTTAAAAATGATTTTGAGTAGAGTTAAAACGATGAGTAAGAAACTAACAGTGAGTTTTCACTAATAAGAGAGTTTTCCTGGGATCTGTTATGGGGTACAAAAAAAACCCACTATATATCTCAATGTTAGTTTGGTTGACTCTGTAAAATAACTCAGTTTACAAAAAAATGTTACTTCTGAATAACTTGACTTTTAGGAAACGTAAAGTCCATTAGAACCTTTGAAAGCAAAAGGGATAATTTTAATAAAAAATTGTATTGAAAAAGACATTTTATTCTCATTTACATTGTTTTTGTTGTAAAGAATAAAATTATTTTTGTTGAGATATATTTTGAGTTACTTTTAAGGACTGAGATATGGCTCAACTGTTTCCTTACATTTTGTACTGTGAGCTAAATACAAATGTCTGATGCTCTTAAACTTTTTTCGAGTTGTTCCGAGATTGAGCTCGTCCTTTTTCCGAAACTCACTTTTGAGTGGCTGGCATTGTCCGGTTTTTCTCTTCATCTCTGGCAACTTCGGCGAGCGAATTTTCTCGGGCAGTCGGCTCTCCGGGAAATCCACCACGCAGGACTCGTTCGGCGCATCCTCGGGTGCGATGAGGACTCTTCGGTTCGAGTGGCGACACACAAACGCACACACTTGACTCGAGGAAAAACACGAGCACGGCGGCTCCTAGCCTTAGCCAATCGTAAAAGTTTTGTACGTATTTAGTACAATTTCGGGATTTGGCAGGATGTAACGAACGTGTAAGAAACAGAGCGCGTCCTTCTCACCGTGTGCGATAATCGACAACAAGCAGCGCGACAACAACAAAACAACAAAAAATATAATAAAAAAAAAAAAAAATCCGTAAAAATCTAACAAATCGTTTGGATCAATTTTCGAGTGATATAACAAAGTATCTTAAGAAATAGCTAAGATACATGCATAAAAGAAATCCCGGCAAAGTGATTTTAGTCAAGTTGAGAAAGCAAAAACCAAATCGTCGGAATCTTCGGCTTGCCTCGGTTCTACATCGCCCCCCCCAACGCCTCCCCCTTTTGTTGTACTCGTATGTGTACTTGTTTTTGTGAGCGTGTTTTGCCGCAAGCCGGTTAAAAATTTTTGCCATAATTACACCCACCCACAATAAGGGTTAAAATTCTCGCGAAACGTAATTAACAAAGAACAAATAATGCCAACGATACCTAAAATACCTGGCAGATGAATCGGGTAAAAAAAAATCTATAGAAGAAAATTATCAGAGCCTTTGTGTGTGTGTGTGTGTGGACTTGAAAATCAATTCACATGAATAACGATTAAGTTCCTTATCGTTTTGGCCCGGCTAATAAGAAACGCCAATCTTATCCTTTTTCGAGATGGAGATTGAAACGATTGCCCTGGGAAGAAAATCGTTCTTTTTTGTTGTTGTTGTTGAAGTTGTTGTTGCTGTAGAGGTCCCTATCCTTTCTTCGGTAATAGTGTCGTTTCCTTTATTTGTCCTTTTATGTTTACCTTTTTTTTTTTTTCTTTCGCTTCCTCGTTTCGTCGTGGTTTGGTTTAGTTTGCTAGCACACAATTGAAAATTCAATTGATTTACAAAATGAAGTTTACTGGTTGGGACGACAGATACTTTTTATCTATTTTCATTTGCAGTTTTACGAGCAGCTAGCAATTTTTTTTCGGCTTGCTCCCTTCGGCCTGACTTGCTTTTTGGCTTAAAGCGAAACCGTTGGCCATTTTTCACAGTTCACAGTTTTTTTTTGTGCGATTTGGGGCCTGAAGGGGCATCTGCAGTTTTGGTGCGAAAAGAACGCTGCGCCCTAGAAGGATTGTTGTGGCTGATGTTTTCGTTGCTTTCCCATTCGGTTTATGTCGAGTGTGTGTTTGTGATTGGAGCGGCCTAAAATCGTTTTAGGACCAGCTGGGAAGTGATTTCCAGTTACGAAAAAAAAAGAAATAAGTAAAGGACCTGCAGTGTGTTTGTGCGGAGAGTGGGTTCTGCAGATTGACATAGTTATGTTCCCGGCGAGTAATGGGAAATCCTTGCCAAGAGCTCAAGAAAATTTAAGATTTCTTTTTGGCCTGGCCTTGCAAGTGTTAAGCCAATTTTGTGTATTGTATTTAAGGCGTCAAAGAGGTTTATTTTGTGTTTTGTGTTTGCTTTTAAGATATATTTTGAAATATTCGGTGTTGAAAGTGAGCTGATGATGATTTATTTTAGTTTCAAGTTTAATATTTGAACAGGTCAGCATGTGAGTTTCAAAATTTATTGCAGCCGAAAGCATTTTTGTTGCTGTTTTAATAAATGAAAATTAAAATTGAGCACACTTTGCTATTGCTTCGGTAAGATGTTCGTTTAAAGAAAAACTTAAGGCTTGAAAATAATATTATACAACACGAGTCGACCTAACATGTCTTTCACTTCTTGCCTCGAGTAACTTTCTCCGTTTTGGTGTCAAGTGTTTTCATAAGAACCAAAAGCGGAAAGAAGAAAAATTGCTTGCAAAAACGGGGATGAACAAATTTTCTTTTCATTCCACTTCTTCAGCCAAACCTAAAATAAGGTTTAAACGAAAAAAAAAACTTTCCTGCGCTAGTGTAAAATAATACGTATACGCCACGTAAAACGAATACCTAAATGTGGCTATCCAATTTATTATGAAAGTTATTTGGGCGAAAGAAATAATCAGGAACCATTGGATCTAGTTGTCAACTGGTGTAGTATTTGATCTCTAGGCTTAGCTTACATTAACTTAATTGAATTTATATTTCAAGGTACCATATGTCATTGAAATTATATCTAATGGTATATCATTCGTAGGCCTTTTAATAATATTGAAACAAATGTATTGTAGGGTTAATTAGGTGCTGACCAATTAGAGATTACTGTGAAATTTGTTTTTTGATCTGTTGATTTCGACGGAGGTTTATTAGTAAATTGGTTGCCGAATTTCCATTTCCAATAAGGATGTGTTAATGGGAAAAATGTGAATACCTAAACACACCCTTTATTCTTTGTGGTTGGAAAGCTTGGATTGAAAGCGAGGCAAAAACAATTCCACGAACCCTTTCTGCTGTCTGTTCAAATAGCGTTTTAACAAACGTTCGTCATGGCGTGGCTGAAAATATAGGCGGCTGATCGGGCACACCCACACTGTTGTTGACGTTTACAATTTGGTGTTGAAAACTTCAGCTGGAAATTGGGTAATACTCGCGATGATGGCGCGTTGGTTGGATGACTGCAGCAATCCTGCATTAAGTGCCCGCCCCGTTGTCCGTATTTGTATGCGTGTGTGAGTATAGCTGTGTGCTAAGGGGTTTGCAACAAAGAAATTTTAATTTATATAGAATGAGTTGGGTGGCGGGTATACCTTCCAATCCCTCTGCAGTCGTCAACATTCCGATGTTCGTGTACTCACTGTACACTCACTCACTCACTGACTCACTAGCACATGCACACCAGAAAAAATCCAATTATTTTAAAACTTTTGACAACTGCAACAACAACAATAACAGCAACAGCAAGACGGCGATGCGAGGCTATGAAAACAATAAGAAAACTGACTGCCAGCCAGAGGCAACAAAAACAATATATGGGAGAAAGTCGAAAGTCCGCAAAAAATCAAGCAGAAAGGCAGAAAAGAGTGTGGAGTGGTTGAAAAGGGTTGCCAGCCATTATAACTTCACTTGAAAAGTTTAATTGATTTTTACAAGTGCATATATATATATATATATAAAATATATATGTATAGCTGTAACGTATGGCACTGGATTTCGGAGGTCAGCCTACCTGCAATCGTGATTTTTATTCGTTTATTTTTGGCCCAGCTAAGTGGGTCTATAACTTGGTGTAAACAAAGTAGATGCAAAGGGTGGAAAAAAGGGGTGGAAAAGAAATCAAAAGTAGCATTGCTCCCATGAAATGAGGTGCAAATTTGTTAGGCTCTTCCAATTGGCTTGGCTTTTTGTAGTTTTTCCAATTCTTCTTGCCTGACTTCTCCTTTTCGGCTGTGTGTTCTCCTTTTGGCTGCTAAACCTGACTTTTTAATTGCTGCTGAGTGTGCTCCGGTTACTGTAATTATTGGGTTTGCCTTTGAGGGATTTGCTTTTAGGTGATTGCCTTAATGAGTGCTCGACGCTAGGCAAAGAATTGGCAGCCGATGCAATTTGCTGCGATTAACTTTATTCCTCGGCTTGAGAAGAAGAAGACATTCTGTAATATACTTTCTGATTTGTCACTCACTTCAGATGACATCTGAAATTGGTTTCCAGTTATTTAGGTTGTGCAGTATTTTCTTGTTTACCTCAGTGCTTCGGAAAATCCCAAAGAGTTTCCATGCTTATTGATTTTTCAATTAAACCTTTTTGTTCTGAACATTTTCTCTCTTTCACTTTAACTTTTTTGTGCTCCAACTTTTGATATTAAATTGTTTAATTGATCCTTCAGAAAACGTTCAAAAAAGGATATACACTTACTCGGCTTGTGATATTTATTTGAGAGATTTGTTTACTTTTAGTTTAACTCTTGCAACAATTTAAGTTTCGTATCAAATATAATCTTTTCAACCACCCATTAAGGATTATTGTTCTTAAGATTTGAAACCATTTAAATAGATTTTAGAATTAATTTTTCGTTTGTGAGAGACAGGAATTTGTTGTTGAATTTAGCAAGCTAAACGAGTCCGGAGGATTTTCACTTTTCCCCTCGTGCACAAAACCACACACAAAGGTCTCTGACAATTTAAGCCAGGTCGACTGACTTTTATCCTTAACAATTGTTTTTTTTCTCTCTCTCTCTCTCTTTTTCCCCTTTTTTTCTGTGGTCCTGTTTTTTTTTGCAGAAATCAAGCGGCTAACAGCATTAAATCACAACAGAAATACATAAATCAATAAGAGAAACAAATAAACTGCATATCTCAGATTATATTTTAGATATAAATGATATAAATATAAGAGTTCTTTAAGTATTAAGTTCAAGCTTAGGCAGGTAAATGTATTTGGTCAGATAAGTAACAACAGCTTCCCTCCACATGGTAACCATAAAATGATGGCGATATCATCGCTGCGACAACTGTAATAAACTCAACTTGGCGATTGGCAACACAACACAACACAATGTCGACAACAATCAATATGTGTGATCAACGACGACAACAACAACAACTTTTACAACTGAATGCGACGTGACGACAACAATTGCAAATATTTATAACGCATACGACATGTTGGTATCATGCCAATAATGATGATGACATCGCATTTACTAACACGTCTTGTAATATCCGATGATTTTCGGCTTGCGAAAATGTATTTAACGAACGATTGAAACACTGATAACTTAACTGCGTCTAAAAACCAACATAAAATCGACAACAATTACAAATCTCACACGCACCTTCGACACACTTTACTCACAAACACACACACACACAATCTGCACTATCCCACTTTCACAAAAAAAACAACAAACCCACTTGAAACAAATTGTTTGTGTTGATTTTTCCTATCGACTTTCCATCTCGGCACCTGCAGCAAAAGCTAAAGTGCCATCGAGCGAGTGAGTGAGTCCGTCAGCCAAAGAGTAAGTCTGACAGAGACGAAAGCCTGTGTAAATAAAAGCATTTAAAATTATTAAGCATTGTTGTTGTTGTTACCAACTGTCGTCGACCCCCTAAAATTTCCGGCCACTCAAATATAGCGAAATAATGGGTCTGCAGGTGACAGCAGCCAGTCCAATTGCAGCTTCCAGCCTATTTGTGTTGTTCTTGCTCACCTGGACGCCCCCAATCGTCGATGCAGCCCGTAAGTACATATTTTTTAGTCAAAAAGTCTTCTCGAAATATTAACCTTATGTTTAAGAACTTTTTTTTCCGTACTTGACATTTTATTTTCCCCGTATTTATGCCGCCACTTTACACGCAAGTTAGGCTAAGTTTACGTTAAGTTCGCTCTTAATTTTGAACATTCTTGCCAGTAAGCTCAACTTTCAAGTGGAGTTGAGTTTACTTGGATTTCAGCTAAAGTTCGGTTCAAGTGCAAGAAAAAACTTGGATGAGCGTAATATTTATAAGGCTCAAGCATTTAAAAGTAAAGAAGAGAATGTTAATCAGTTGAAGCTCAAATTAGCCAAAGCAGGAACAGGGAAATACTTGACAATTTATAATTAAAAGGAAATTATGTAAGATGTTGAGGAAACGGATGGAAAGTATGGCTTTTCGGTCGTTATTTGGCTGAAAATGATCCTACAGCTGAATAAAATGGCTGTTCTTGCGCAGCTATCAACCTTAACGAACAGCCCATATCAATTTCCAGGCTACCACAAAAAATTTATTTTTTGCAATTACATTTTTGTTTGCAAAAATTAAAAAAAAAAAAATTATATTTTTATTTAAATGCCAATCTTTTAGGAATTTCCTAACGAGTTCAATGAGGTATGTCACTCCATATTATCACCAGTTTTAGGTTTTTTTTTCTAACAAAATGCTGTTTATTAGTGCAATGAATTTTCAGGTTTTTTTTTTAACCTTCCCTTTGAATTCCTGCTAATTAATGATGGCAGAACTCCATTTTTTTCCATTGCATACATTTTGTATTCAATTAGGAATGCCACCTAAGTCCAGTTCGCTCCACTGAAGCCATTTTCGTCACTTTCGAGAAAGGAAAAACAAATAACAATCAAAGTGTTGACATTTCAGAATTGCAGTCAAATGTGCCTCATATTTTGCGCCAAGGCCTTTTGTGGAAGTGTCGAGGCTGACTTGTGCCTCCTGGCGCTATCCACTCGCCGTGGCACTTACCTTTCATAGACGCTTCATTTCATTTTGAGAGTGGGGTTGGTTCGAGAAGGGGGAGGGGAATGGGGGAGGGGGAAATGGGTACTACCACGGGCGGGCGGTACGTGGAGCGATAAACAAGCTGCAGGGGACAGAGAGTCAGAAAAACAGGCAACACAAACATTGCACATCCTGATGTATTTTCTGGTTTTGTTGCCTTTTTATTTGTTGTCGTTACTGGAGCTGCCGCTGCTGTTGCTGCTGCTTTTGCTTTTGCCTGGTTAGCCTGCAGTTTGCAGTTTGCAGTTTGCAGTTTGTCGCACCTCTTTTTGTGTATGTGGCATTAAATTGAAATTTATGCGGCACTTTGCCGCGTGAAATGTTTGTACAACTCGTTGCGGGTTGCGGCTTGCTGTTATATTTTTTTCTTCCTTTTTTTTTTTTTGTTTTTGTTTTTGTTGTTTTTAGTATGCTCCCGTTTTTGTTTTTGCACCGAAGCTCTTCGGGCGTTGACAGACCGACAAACTGTTGGACAGCATTGCAGGGGAAAGTATCTAAAAACATATGCAAAACTGTTTGCTGTTTGCCATGTAAATGGTTTTTCGGCCGCCCCCCTTTTCCTTCCTCATTTCCCATTTCCCCGCAAACTGTTGGCTTTTTTCCGCTTTTATTCGACCCTTCCGTCCGTCCGCCCACTTTTAGCCAGCTAATTTGTCGTTTGTTGGAAATTATGACACAAAAGCCCCGCTCGGCAATTGCCGACTTAACTCAACTGCACCGCTCTGCTCTGTCCAGCAGCTCCGAAATATATTTCACGCAAAAGGGAACTTATTTCACTTTTGGTTTTTTGCAACAAGTTTTAATTAATTTGCCGCAACTCCAGGCTCCCAGCTACACATCTACAGCGCCAATGCTCCAATCTCTTGCTTCACTTTCATTCCACTCATCAGAGGCACAAAAAAAAATGGAGGAAAAAGTTGATGCTACGATAATTTGAAAAGTTTTCGTTTAGACAGCGCGAGCTAACAAAAAAAAAAATAAGAAAAAAAAACAAGAAGGCAGATTGGAATGTGGAACAGCAAATGTCAGAGTGTCCCGGGGAAAATCGCTTCCTAAACTAGAGGCGAACGGCACTAAACTATATGAGCGTACACCCATATGCTATATTAAGCCGCAAATAAATGCCGGGCCATAATTAACATATAGCAAAAGTTTTACCTCATCCAGCGGCAAAAGCAAACCGCAAGTTAAACTACGTTCGGGGGCGGAAAAGTGTCTGGATGAAATATGGTTAAAGTCGATTCCCGATTCTCGGTCGTGTTTGCTTTTTGGGTGGGCAAAAGTAATCCGAAATTGATAACTTTCGGCTTGATGGAGTTCGCCAAGCGAAAGGTAATTAAACAGTAGACGTGAGAGTAATCGGTTGGGCACGGAAATTCCTACGCCTGGCAATCACAAATCAATTCCAAAGTTTTCCTACAGAAATATATGGTAAGGCAAATATTTGTTTTATATCTATACAAAATTATCATTAAACATAATGGTAAGAACTTAATGTAAATTACGATTTTTTTTTTAGTTATTTTTCTCATTGTTAAATAGAAGATTTGTCTTAGAAAATAAAACAGAACGCCCATCAATTGCTTTTTCTGGCAGTTTGGCAAATAGCAAATGGCAAATGGTCAAGGAAAATGCGTGTGCAACTTGCTAATGCCGCATATCATTATATTAGCCAACATCTCATATAGAAATACCCACGATTCGCATATATATTTATATATATATATATAAGTTACTCGGCAATAATAATGTCCCGACATTTATCACGTTTTTTCGCGTTTCTCAGTGCCGGACAAGTGACCAGCTAAAGTGGCTCTAAAATTTCAGTGCCCAAATGAGTGGAGGCTCCACCTCCCACTTAGTGGGTTACACAAAAAAAAAAAAAAAAGAAAAGAAAGAAAGGAGGAGAAGAAAACGACGGAAGAAAAGACGGAATGAAAGAAAGATAAATAAATGTTGGCAACAACAAAGAGCAAAGCGCCATAAATCTAAATAACAAATTTTTACGAGAAACGAGACCATAAATAAGATGTTTGTTGCGGCCTAGCGAAAAATAGTGTGGACCTCCAAAGGGGGGAGGGAAAACCCCGAAATGTTTTGGACCATTCCACATTTCCCATTTCCCAGAGGTTGTCTCTGGCCAAGCGGCAACAATTCACCAGAGTTCTGTTAATTTAATATTATTACTTTTCATTACAACAAGGCCTTCCTTGCCCTCTTTTTGCAGGAATAGCTGTTAGTTTTTTTTTTTTTTATTTATATGTTTTTTGGTGGCAAGGGCAAGGGAAGACTGCCCCGAAATGTCAACACATTAATGTGAGCAGAGACGGACGCTTTGAGATAAATCAACATTTATCTGCGGCCATTGCTGACAATTGAAAATTACCGTCTATATCTTTCGGCTAATTATGGCCCATTAAAAGACCGAAATGTATTTTTGGCTAAAGAGGCCATATTTATCAATGTTGAAAGGAAAACCAATGTTGGACATTCCTAGCAATATTGATGGTTTCTTATTATTCTTTAATTTTGCAAAGCTACCAAAAGGCATAAGCTTATAAAAATAAATTTAATAGAAAGAGATATACATTTAATTCTCTGGTAGAAAAACTGGACTTAAGGGGGGGGTAAGGTTTTAAAGGCCAAAAAAAGGGCCATGTTTGATCTTTTTTTGCGGCGAAATGAGTAAGTTTATTTTATTGAGCTTTATTACATGTTATTGTTTAACTTTTAAAGAGTATCAGAAAAAAAAATTATTAAAAAATATTAAGAAATAAGCCTGTGACGGTTAGTCTTCCGAAGCGCCTAAAGAAAAAGTTGTTTTGCGGTGAACATCATAGGGCGTTAACGGATCATCTTAAAAATAAAATGTGATATGCGTTGTAAAGATAATGAATTTCCCGAGGTAATCAGGAAGAGATTTTTAAAATTTATTTTTGTCTATTTTTGGGAGCACTTGAAAGTGAAAAGTGCGATTTTAGCTTAAAAATCGCTGTTAATTTATTTTTAAAAATAGAAAAAATTAAAAATAAAAAAACTCTTCCGATTACCTGCGTATTTATATTGTGAATTTGTGTTAAAAATTTGAAAAGGATCGGTTCAATAGATTTTGAGTTCTGATGTTCACCGACTTTCAAAATAACGTCTTCGGCAAAATCGATTCAAAGAATTTTATACGTGAAAATACGTCCAAATACGGTTGTTTAAAACGCTGTAACTTCGTTAGTTTGACTTTAATTGACTCAAAATTTTTACACAATGTTCTCGACATATTAATCATTCAGAAAAAAAAAAAAAAAAATGTAAAAAAAATTTTTAAAACCTTACCCCCCTTAAACACATACATTTTTTAAATTATTCCTTGTATTTAAAGACTTCCTTTACCTGCCAAATGTTTATGCTTAAAAACATTAAAGTAACATTTTATGCAAATGGTTGCATTTCGCTTTTTAATATTCTGAGGGACATTTTTGTTTGCCCTCTGACCACTTTTGCTGGCCAGTTTAATTAGAAAAAATGTTAATTTAATGCTTGGCTGGCCTCGTACTTGACTGGTTCGGGTTGAATCGGTGAGTTGTTTTTTTTTTTTTCGGTCTCCCTTTTTTTTAAACCGAGCTTGCTGACGCTGGGAAGTATGCCACCAGCCGCGGCCATGAATTCTTATACAGATAGCTGCGCTCACAACACGATGACAATTGTTTGCCCATATGTCCCAGTCATATTTTCGACAGGCCGCAAAAAGACAGAAAAGCTGAGCGAAAAAAAAAGTGGCTACAGAGGGCAGTGGAAAAAGTGAACATTTTCCCGCGAACACTTTTCATGTAAATGGCGAAAAATAAAAGTTTGCCGGCCGAGTGTGTGCTAAATGATTCATGAGTCATGTGTGTGGACCGCTCGTGGAGATTGAAGACTACATATGTGTGTGTGTGTGTGTTGGCCAAGTTTAACTGTATGTGTGTGAGTGTTTGC